ATGAATTTTAGACTAAACTCTAGGATTTGGTATTCAGAATTCATTGCCCAGGGTAAAATCTAGAGATTATGTATCAATGTACCAAGGATAATACTGTGCTCACACATCCTGTTGTAATTTTATATCCTCCTCTGGATTTGGATTAACCTAATGATCTTGCCATAACTGGGAGTGGAAGAAAGTGCTTGTTGGACAGCCTCAGATGAAGAATTCTAGCTCCATTTTATAATGCACTGCATTTGCTGGTGCTATTTTTATACAGTGAAGTAACAGGTTTGAGGCTAAGTGAGAAGATAAATAAAATATTAAACCTCTTCATTAATAATGGTAAAAAAATAAAGTATACATCAAAATAAAGTCTAAAAGCAACCTTTTTTTTTTTTTAAACAATACTGAACTCAGGACCTTGTCCTTGCTAGATAGACACTCTATCCACTTTAGCTATGCCCCCAGACCTCTTGTTTAGTTTTTGAATAGAGTCTCACATTAGTGCTCAGGCCAGCCTTGACTGTGATCCTTCTGTTTATGCTTCCATTTAGCTGAGGTGATGGGCACACCATCACACTGGTTTTTATTGTTGAGACAAGGTCTTGCTGACTTTGTACTCAGACTAGCTTTAAACTGCTTCCCAATCTCTTCCTCTTGAGTAGCTAGGGTTATAGGTATGAGCCACGTTGCCTGGCTATGAAAACAATTTAAAAAAGTAATGGATTGAAAAAGTTGAAACCTACAAAAGTTTCTCAAATAAACAGTCCTCATACACATTCCCCCTAAACTGGTAGAACTGTAAAAAAGGAAGTACGAAGTCAAATTAGGACTGTTCAATCTTCTAAGGCAGTTTGAACAGAAATCCTATGAGGATTATAGATTATAAACAACACCAAACACTGGTTAAAATCATGCAACACTGAGCAAATGCTTAATTAATCTGAGCTTCAGATTTTAATTTAAAAGCAATCAGTAGGGATAAGATTTGACTTTGCTAGGAGTGGAAAAAGAAGCTATGCATATTTTACTTATTCTTCTTTCCAGAACTATTTATTGAATGTTTCATAGATGCTGTTCTTTCTGTAATGCACTGGAAATAGAAATACAATGCAGTTTTTTTTTAATCATTCTTGGAGACTGTAGTCTATTCTAGGAGGAACAAAACAAGAAAACAAGGGATTGCGATAGAATCACCCTTAATAGAGTCAAGAGTGAGTGCAGAATGTCTAAAAGGCAGGAGCAATTGCAGTCCACTCCAGAGATAATATATCTGAGACTTGGAGGCAAATAGTGCCTTCATCTTGAAATATTATATTTACAAATTTACACATATAGCCTGGATAGATTACAGTGTGCTTTCTATTAAATTCTAAAATGTGACATGCATTAAATGTAGGCATTATTACAAAGAAAAGTCCTATGAGATACTGTTTTTAGACTATTATAGGATTTCTTAGGTAGTCTTGTTTCATCTATATTGATACAGATGTATGGGTCTTGAGTTCTTTCTGTGTCTCTGCACTTTGTATGCATCACTTACTCTGTTTTCCATCCTCCCCTTCTAGTGTTCAGTAATTCTGGGACTGTTGCTGTGTAGGAATTCTGAAAACACAATTTTTGTTCTTGTAATAACACTTTAAGCTGATGTTCTACTCTGCATGTGACTTTAGAAAACAGTATTTTAGATTGTGCGGTTAGCTATTTTTAAATGGGCAATCAAGTAGTAATAAATACATTCAGATTGCTCTGCAACTAAAATCCAGGGTGTTTCTTACATTGCAAAACATAAAATATCAAACCCATCATTCCTGATTTTATTTATTTTTCCTTTTTTAAAGCTATAGTTTTCAAAGATTTTACCAACATGCTTTAGCTATTAGATGGTGATAGTGTTATTAGGTTTCTTAAAAGATTCAGATAAGCTTTAAAAGAAGTGATCATGATCAAATGCGTCTATGATTTACACTATAAAATTAGAAAATACTTGTAGTTTGATAGGTTTAGGATTGTTAAGATATGAGGCTTCCGGGCTGGGAAGGTAGCTCAGTGGTAGAGCGCTTGCCTTGCATGCCTGAGGGACTCCTCCCCCCCCC